TTCTATGCATTGTGTCTGTTTGTCTGCTCACTTATCATTTGAGACGACAAATATCAGCTATTTATAAATATTATGATACATTTTCCTAAAAAGAAACTACCCGCAATATAGATTTAATAAATTCTCTCTAAAATGTGTTGTATTTATTTTTATTAGACGTAATGACATATTCAATAATATTGATATAATTAATTCACGTAATCTTAAGCTTTAGACTTCACAACAGTGATACCATTTCCTAGTTTATTAATATTGTCTTTATCATATAATATAGTGATTATAACATATTTATAATCATCTGTAATCTGATAGTTAGAATTGTATTTTTTATTTCTCAATCTAATAACCATATATTATTTGCAGAACTTTCTTTACAATTTTTATTTTACAAGTTATTTGACAATTTACTGATCATTAAAATTCATTAAATTGTCATTTTAGGTTTATCATTTATTTTTGCAATCGCTAAAATTCTACTGATTTGTATTAACAATTCTTTATAAGTTACGAAGTCTTCACAATAATACATCACTAATAATGATAATAAAATCTTCTATAATTATTCTTTCTACAAAAAAAACAAATATTTTATTAATATATATAGCTTATTAATTTAAATAGATATATAATTAAATCGTGATAATTCTTTTCAAATGTTTCTATAAACAAATTTTTAACTTTTTAACTTAGTCTAAAATACATTTGGTTTAATAGTAAAGGATTATTAAGAGTATATACTAAATTGTTTTAAAAAAAGCATAATTTATATATAAATAAATATATTAAACTTAATAAATTTACACTATTAGAAGTTTTAAATTACATTTTATTGAAAGATATAAAATATTATAAACAAATTTCTGGCATAAATTTTTGTAAACTTTCATTATTGTAAACATTACACTGTAATATTTTGAAATATTACGCTATAAACTTTTGAAATTTTAGTATTTTTGTAAGTTTTACATAATATTATACTGTAATATTATAAAGTACTATATTATAAACTTTTGTATAATTAGATACACTAGTCAAAATTATTTCTTTTAACACTAATACCTTTTGGTAAACATTCAGCCAATTCGGTCATATGATTTGGCAAAAATTCACTTAAGTTATAAAAATCGATAGGCATTTATTACATTGTACACAATTTAGCATTATTTTGGCACTAAGACCTTTTATCAAATATTCAGACGATTCGGTCATACTATTTGGCAAAAATTCAGCTTAAGTTATAAAAATCGATAATCATTTATTACATTGTACACAATTTAGTATTATTTCAGTACTAAGACCTTTTGTCAAACATTCAGACGATTTGGTCATATTATTTGGCAAAAATTCAGATCAAGTTTAAAATTCAGTTACATCACACATAATTTAATTTTATTTCAGTATTATAACCTTTAGGAAAATATTCAGATTAGTAATATTTGATAAAATTACCTTTCAAAATTGACGAAATTGAAATAACAAAACTAGTTTTTTATTAATGACAAAATTATTTTACTTACTTGCCGAAATTATATTTAACTTGATCTAAATTCCTTGAATTAAAATACATTAAAAAATATAATAATTTTATATTTATTCATATAAAAATATTAAAGAAACGAAACTTTTGATGAAATTACAATTTTTTAAAAAAGAGTTTAGTCAGGTATCACTAATTCAGATGATTTAGTATAATAAAAAATTTCAGTTATACTTTAAACTTCGACATGAAAATTATATAATTCAGCATTATATCAGTCCGTTTTTGGTTTATTATGAAAATGTATATTACAAAATAAAAAGTTAACAAATATGGAATTTACGATTTATCAGATTTATGGCTAGATATTCAACAGCATTTAAATGAGTAGAAATTTTATATTTTACTGGTACAAATCAACAAAATATATGTTGTATTGGAATAATACTATCACGATCATCAGGAAAAATTTATTTTTCTATAGTTTAACATTACAAGTTTTTTCATCATCATCAATACTAAAATAATATCAAACTTTATATGTTTCTATCAGCTTTTACTACTGAATAAATGCCAAATTATATTCTGCCAGTCTGTTCTCAAAATTGATTATATGCTTAAAAAAATATTGGACTTGATCAGCATAACAGTCAATCTGATTATCGAATATTATAAAATTTGCTTAAATAAATGAAATTTTCATATAATGAGATGACATGGCTGAGCTAAACACCTTTAACATTCTATATTGACCAAATTTATTTATTTTAATATAACTAAATATGATTAAATCTTTAGAATCATCATCGAATAATGCTTTGAAATTATATGTTTCATATGTTGTTGTGTAGTATTTGACTACTAAATTAAGCATTGACTTAGACAATATCACATTGAATTTAGGACTTAATAATCGATTCCTTTATGTTTTTTGAATTAGACCAAAATCACTCCATTTCATCAGATAAATATTTGTTATCTTCTAATAATGAACCAACAACAATTTGATTATTAAGCAAATCTAAATCTTTTGTTCAAATATTTACTAAATTACTGATTTCTCTAATACAATTATCATTTATTGATCTGCGCATTATTTCTGACTAAATAATTTTAACATATTCATTATTTATTAGTATATTTCATTATATAAATCAGCAAAATGAAAATGAAGCTACAATTACCAAGTATCCCATTCATACTTCAAATGAGAAGCATCAAAAAGTATATAAAAGGCCAAAATTATATGAAAATTCTCATAAATAAAGTGAAAGGTGGAGATTTGGTGTTATTTTATCATGCCTGTAATACTCCTCAATAAGATTTACTATTTTAATCAACTTTTGTGAGCTTCTTGTACCAAATCAAGTTCCAGAATTTGACCTACTAGAATCGAACAAACTCTAACAAAATGTGTTAGAATTATTTAGTCAATTACTAATAAATGTTCCCAAAGTGATGTAGTTGCATAAATTGTATAAAAGTTTGCTATTAGTCTGCTGTGAAGTTAGAAAAACTTTTTTCACAGTTGATTTTTTGAGGGATTCTACCAAAATCTGCTGGAACTTGAATTTGATTCATATTTCTTTGGATATTTTTAAGAGCATCTGAAGTTAAAACCTTCTTATTGATCCAAATTCATTTAACTATCCATTTTACTATGCCTAAAAATAGACAATGCATTGGGTCGACTGTTAAAAATTGAATTGAATCAAAGTATGGTAAATGAAGTAATTCAGATCATCTAACACCAGTATGCTTTATAAATTGCTTTCTGTTAGCGTCTGAATTGCACCTTTGCTAGCCAAGTACATCTTCTATGATATTGTAATGAATCCCAGGAGTAAACCATTTGTTCATGTTACTCATTCCAGCAAAATTATGTTGCCGATTTTCATAATTTGCCTTCTTTTCGCACTTATGACATGACACTAATGCTGAAATATAACTGCAAATTTTTTTTGCTGCGGGAATATCACATGAAATAAGAATTAATATTGCACAAATTCTCCTTTCTTCTTGACATTTGTATGTTCAATTTAGAGTCACACCATTCAAAAGTAACTCTAATTCATAAATAGTTATTGTTACTTTGCCGATTTGAAATTTTGTATTTCATTAGTATAAATTGACTAAGAATATGATGAACTGGAATAATGCAGCTAAAAATTAGTAAATTTTTACGCTTAAATTGAATTCATTGCCAGCAAAATCACTTAATTTCAATATGTTATACATGAACTTCATTTGGCTAATAAATCATACTATATAATCATAATACCAAGATAAGCAATTGAGCTTAAAGTTTTATTAATGAAAATTCTATAAATAGTTTAAAATATAGATGTTTTATTGAGTCGTCAACTAGATTCGTGAAATCAATTACTGCACACTAAAAAATAAATGATGAAAGATGTTCATATTTATAGTTTTAATTTTTTTTTGTAGCTGCAAGTTTAAAATATATATTTTGATTATTTTACAGTAAGTTTATCAATAAAGAAAAAAATATTAGTTTCTGTTTATTTTTTTAAATATCTTTTTTTTGTTCCTATTTTTTTTGATTACTAACATAATGAGATCACCTGTTATTTTTTTCCCTGATCAAATAGTTTTAACAGCACGAATACTACCATTATACATCAAGGTAGGAGTGACTTTTCTAAAACATTTGCCAATGCCAAAGCATTAAGCTTTTTTCTATTTTTTCATTTATTATTTTCTTTCAACCTTTTTAATTTATTTTTGTTTTCTTTTTCTCCTTCATCTATTTGTTCTTTCTTTCTTCTTCCTTTTTTCTCCACCTTTTTTCCTTCTTATTGTTTGTTTTTTCTTTTTGAGTTTTTTTTGAATGATAATACTATTAGTTCTTCATAAAACTTATAATATCAACCGCCATTAATTGGAATCATCAATGATTGTACTATGTTTCCTTTCTTCATTCGATCAAATCGATTCAAAGAAGGAGGTTCTGATGGAATCTTTTTTTTTATTTCTTTCTTTTTTCACTTTTTTTTATTCTTTTATTTTTGTTCTTTCTTTTATTTTCTATTACCTCTTTCTTTTTTGTACCTTCTCTTTTTTTTCTTTTCATTTACTTTTTTTAATTTTTGTTTTTCACTATTTTCTGTAACTTGTTTTCCTATTTCAACCCACGCTTCTTTTAGTTTGGCACTCAGATGCATAGGAACTAAAAGTGCCCTTTTCTATCTCGTTCATATATTGTGGCAAATTTTTCATTAGAAAGGAAGGCGTTGCTGTGTAAAGTTTTTATTCAATTGGTATTTCCAACTAATAATTTTGACTTTTCAACCAAGTTCCAAAGCATTTTTTATATATTTCTAAAAGCCTCTTTTGTTATATTCAGCATCATTTCTATTTCCACTAGCAAGGACCAAAGTAGATGGCATTTGAGTTTTTATAGATCTTGAGTTGGAGAAATTCATTGACACATTGTTCTCTTTGATTAATATGTTGTAAAATTGAACATTTATAACCAGCTTGTTTCGCTTGTATAAGTGGTTTAGACATTTCTTCCTTTTTCTATGATTTTGAAAAGAGAATCATAATCTAACATGGATACATTTGGCATCTTTTTAACCTTTAGTTTGCAGTTTCTAAATTTAAATTGATAATATGAACTGAATTTAGCTAAAATATTGGAATTATTAATGAAAACGTAAATAGTGTCATCAAATTTCTAGGAAAAAATCAAATCATTTGAACAGGAAGTTCTAGCAAAGCCAATATTATTGAATATAAAATCAGTTGCAAACAAGACTGCTACATTATATTGATTATAACTTGAAGGAATATCATAAAAATCAAACTTTTTAAAATCCTCATTGAGCTATTAAAAAAAAGAAAAAAAATTAAAGAATTTTAGCATTTTTGATCTTATTGAAATGTTAATATTATTGTGAAAAAAAATTAGTATCTCACCTTTCTAATATGTGTTTCAGGTTTTTTATCGATTTTCTTCATTGATGTACTTTCCTCATAAATTGTTACAATACTTTCAACTTTTCTTCTTTAGTGATGATGATGGTGATTGCATTTCCTGTTCAGGGGCTATTAACTCCATATAACCCTATAAATAATCAGTATAAGGAAAGTATACGGAAATAATACGTTTAAAAAACGTATAAAAAACGTAGAAAA